TCAACCCTCCTTATGAGATATTTGGCAAAAATGCAAGGTTATTTTTAAGTTTTTTTTGAAATATAAAAAATAAAGATATTGTTCATCGTAATTTTATTTATAGTAAAAGATAGTATAAAGTTTCTATTGGTATAGTTCATTTGTCTTTAACAGTGTAAATGCTATTTGATAAATTAAATTTTCGATAAATGCGGCTCACATTTATATCGGAGTTACCTATATCGGTCACTAAAGCTTCTTCTTCGCGCGCGTTCGGCATTCCGATAACGCGCGTTAGATCGCGGAACGTAAACAGCTATTGGGAGATTGAAAGCTTCGCGCGATTCACTCCTCGTGGTATGTATAAACGTAAATATATATATATATATATATATGTATAAAGAAATTCTAAAGGTGGAGGAAGAATGCGAAAGGAAAAGAAATGATGAAAAATAGGACACGTAGAAATAAACGCTATAACTCGAACGAATCGGAGGAACTCATAGTTAACAACCCTCAAGCTCTCTCAACTCTTGCTTCTTCTTTTTCTTGCATCGCGCTCGAACTTAGAATCGCGCGACGCCAATCTCACGGCAATACGAATCAGTTTCCTCGAGTTTATATTCATAACGAATAAATTATTCAGCCCGACGCCGGGATTTGAACCCGTCGGGGGATGTATAGACCCATCACGTCGTTCTGCATTATCCACCTAATCGGAGAACGTGCTGACGAAAAAGCCACCATATCTCTCTCTCGAACGCGAACGTTCGGCTTGCCTGGTCGATAAAGCCCGGTTCGAATTCGATGGTCATTTTTGTCGCTGAGTCGCTAGGCGGAATGAAAGAGTCAATGAAAATAAAATTCCCACGTGCATCAGTTTTTTTGCACACGATCGTAAAGTGGAGCATTTATATAAATAACGGACTTTTTACATCTGGCCTTGTTAACACTTTTATTGAGAGATATAATTTTTAACACCAAACAAAACAAAGAAATATTTAATAGTCACATGAGATTATGTCGTCACCATCTTCTTTAATGACAGACCTAATGTAATATAATCGCGATTTTATCGAATATTATTGTCAATATGTCATAAATAAATTTTTAAACATATTGTTATATCACTCCGCATTTTTCCAATAATAAATCACTTTTTCTCGTAGTAATCTCGTAGCACAAAGGATTAATGAGAGTCATTCGGAATAAATTAAAAAAAAAAAAATATCAGCTTTAGTAGCGGTAGTGCGCACAATGTCGCGGGCATGCCTTTCCCGCGTTTCCGAGTGAGAAATAATTAGCGAGTTTCGTCGCCTGGCACGTATATCCACTCGCGCGTTGCAAACGATTGCTCTTTGAGTACGTGTGTTTCCCTCTCCCTTTGGGAGCGAATATCGTACGTTTATTGCAGCGCCGAAAAGTGCGACCAGGTTACCGTACGATCCAAGTTAAAAGCGTAGTTGAAGTGGCAGGAATGTAGTTTGCGCAAATTTCTAAAACACGCGCGCGCTATTAGTCGCATTAACGCGACTAATCACGATTAATTGAATCTTTCTACGGCATTGAAACACGCTCGATTAGAAAACCATTTGTGACTGATACACGCAATGAATGCGCGCGCGCGCGCACACACATACATATGTATACATGTGTATGTACATATGTATGTATATATATGCAGTTAGTCAATCAAGTCTATTAATAGGATTTAAAGCGGAAGAAATCAAAACGTACGTACCAAGAGCTTTGAAACGTTAATTAACAAATAAATAAAATTCTTACAGAGAAATAAAACGGTGACATTTATTGTTGAATTTTTTAGCAATCAAACTTTCCAAATGTGTTTGATTTGTTATTCAAACGATATGCATTTTGCTCTTCTTTACGATGATCGACGGTTTGCTTGCCGAAACTTTGGATTTCCTCGATTTTATCTTCTGCATTTTAGCATCTCTCTCACGTGGCAGTTTAATTATAGTTCCACGAGTTTCTCCACAAAGTACGTTCGAATCTTATGTAGGATCATTTGAGCTTTTCGTGTTACACAACGATTTACTGTTGCACGCGCGTTATTAAAGAAGAGCGCCGATAAGACAAAGTCGAATAACTTATCCACTTATCTCCAATTTTACGTGATATGTTCCTACTGGCCAACAAAGCTGTGATTAAAGGGGTTTACTTAGTCATTAAAATATTCCATTAACGCCGGCATATCGGCGTAGATTTGGTCGAGTGAGTGGAACGTGAGCAGAAACGTTAGATAAAACAAGACGGATAGAGAGAATTAGATAGAGAAGAACCTTATTAAAGGTGACTCTTTCATTCTTCTGAGCGTTAACAAATTTCAGAACGTCGTTCGTTCTACGAAACACCGACGACATCGTTAAGGCACGATCATCGAGATTAAAGACTTTTCCGGATTCGAGAGATTTCAAGTCGGGATTGTCCGCAATTAGTGCGGAACGAGAAAGAGCAAGGTGGTGGCGACGGCGACGACGACGACGACGACGGCGAGATCCTTCAAAACTACAGAGAGCTTCCTGCACGAAGACGAAAGAAAGTGAGGAATGTTAACGAGACGAATCTTAAGATGCGTCGCAATCGTTATCGACCCTTTTTTTTCTTACCTCGAGCTCTGTCGAAGTCGTCTGAAAGATGATTGCATTCGCTACTATCCTTCAGACAAACGTACAATCAGGAGGACGTCGAGAAGCTCGAGTAATTGATAGTTCTTCCTTGTACGCGTTTTGAGTTTACTGTCTTTATGTATCATTAAGAGAGTTATTAAGGAGAAGGACGGATATACAGTTGACTTTTGCGATTAATCACCGTTCTTAAGCGAGACAAATGGTACCGTAGAGATCGACTCTCTCTCACACACACACACAGTAGCGCTTTTACTATAGTTGATCTATCTAAGTATAGTTATTTCAGGAGTACATTATATTCGAAATTGCATTGCAAAGACAAGTGATCGATACATTGTTACGCGAATAATATCATCCGCAAAACATGTTTCTTTTTCTTTGCGGTTGAAAGTGTTGAAAAATTTCAATTTTGTGCGCTATTGGCTACATCAACATTATTTTAATACTATATAAACAATCTGCGAGATACGAGATAGATATCGAGAAATTATATTTGTTTGCAAATATCCACGTTTTTTTCACAGATGAAACAATTGAATGGTGGCGCACAAAAACAAATTTTTGTGCAGGTTATTCTTGTACCGTACATTGCACACGCTTATTTTTCATCTATGTTTTTAAAATAACCTGCACACTGCTTTTTCTACAATATCGCGTTCTGCCGCAAGTGTCGAAATATATAAAATATTTAGCAGACAGAAAAATATATATATTCCGCGCTTTAAAAATATATTATATATATATATATATTATTATTCTTTATCAGACTACGCTTTCTCCAGTAAAAAGCTTTCACTATGTTATATATATATATATATAACATAGAAAAAAAAAAAATATATATATATATATATATAATTTTTTTTTTTTTTTTTAAATCGCGCGTATTTCCCGTATTACTTTCTCGTTGTCGCGGATACCGCACAAATCTCTGTTCAAGACTATTTTCGCGAATTTTCTTCAATTTTCTTCTCGCATCGCACATCAAGCTTGTTATATTGTACTGTTCCGCGAATTAGATTTCCGCGAGTATCACGTGTTCACGCGCGCGTTTACGACCACTCTATCTCTGTTTCCAGAGCGGAACTTTTCAAAACACACAGCGCGCGTTATATAGACACACCGGGGGAACACTCGCGCTCGTTGTGTCACACGCGCAGGAAGTTGGACGACGACTGTGCTCTGAAATTGTTTCCACGGGAAAATAGTATAGAGACGTATGCGGTAAATGGCGTCGCGCGCGATACCGTGTGCACGGACGTTTTGCGAAGCAGCTCACAACTTTTGCACGAACAAATTTACGCCGCGCGATACACTTCGATTGCTTCAATTACACGTTGCGCCGACGATGTGATTTGTTTGAATAAACAGGTTTTGTATTTTTTTTTGTTTCTTTTCTATTTGTGCCGACATACTTTATATTTCAGAGTAATCTAATAGCTACGCGCATGCAAAGAATCATAAAGAGCGCATCCATGATAGAAATACTTGTGACTATTTCAAGTTACTTGCCAAATACGAAACTCTGTAGTTTCCAACATGTTCGAACGTGTGTGGTATTCCGAACTCGCGTACGGACGTGGTAAACGAAATTTACGGTACACGCTATTCTCAAGTCACGTGCACAAATCGTAAAATAAATCCAAACTGGAAATTCTCTTGTCATTGGAAACGGAATCTCGACATTTATTGCATTCAAAGTCGCACGCGATATCGGGAAGTTTTTCTTTTTCTCTTTAAACTTACGTTATGAAAATATATCCGGTGACAGAAGCTGTGCAATGTCACTTAAATAAATATTTTGACTTCTTCTTAAGAAAACAGTTTTATTCTTCTAAAAGTCGCGCGAAAAATTAAAAAAAAAAAAAAAAAAAAAAGAGAACGTCGCCGAACGAAGCTCATTAAGCGGCATCGAACGCACATTTTAGATCAGTTATAAAAAAGAAGAAAAGAAAATCGTCGTTATCATGATAAAATCTCGTGAAAAGAGATCGTAGTCTTAATTCACTTTTTCCTGAGCGAGTACCAGCCGCACCGGTAACAGCAATCTTCATAAATAAATTTTCACTTTTGCTTTGTATTACTGATAAAATTAGAATTATAATTTCAAAAAAAAAAAAAAAAAAAAAAAAAAAAAAAAAACGAGTAACGAGATAACTCAACAACACAAACTTTCTTCACACAAACCTTACCCGATATTGTTATTATCAGAAACGATTCGTATTTTACAAAACAACGCTTACTCCACTCGCACACATGTCGACTTTATTTTTACCTTTTCCACTGCCGAGAAATTCAATTCGATGACGTGAGAATTGTGACGGAAAACAAACGGACACAGAAAGAGGAAGAGAAACAGAGAGAATTTACCTGCGAAGATTAGACAGCGGGCCAGCATCCTTCGATCCTGTAGTCAAATTCCAGACTCGGTCTAGCTCGGTGTCTAGTTCCCAAAAAAAAGGAACGATAATACACGTTCGCTTCAACGTCACGCTGATTTTCGCAATCCGTTGCGGTACCGTCGGCTTGTTGCCGAAACGTCGCCGTCGTTCTCGTCGTTATTGTTGTTGTTGTTGTCGTCGTCGTCGTCGTCGTCGTCGTCGTCGTCGTCGTTGTCGTCGTCGTCGTCGGCGACGTGCACAACGCGTGGCGCAGAGACGTGGTGGCGATGGTAGCCGACGACGAGGACGAGCAGCGTGTCGTCGCGGCGATGCTGCTGCGAGTGCACGCGGTGCATACGCGGCGCGCGGCCACTCTAAAGGCAGCCGGCGGATGTTCGGATACCGCGCGGGCGAATTGCGCGAAGCAAGATAGACAACGAGGATGCGGGAACCAGGGAGAAGGGGGGAAAGGGCACAGATAAGTAGACCTGAGAGCGGAAGAGGTCCGGCAGAAAACGTTACGCGTGTCTACTAGCTTTGCGACGAGAGTCTTTGGCCTCCGGCACCGCCGGCCACGACTGATCGCGCCAGGGTGAATCCCTCCTTCCCCGCGAGCACCGAAGCGCATGCGTAACCACCCTCTCTGCATCCCTCTTTCTCTTTCTGTCGAGTATACAGGGTGGGTATACCCCTTCTTCACAGGAATCCCTATCGCACACACAGCGGGTGGCTTCCGCCGAGAGGGTGTCGGTGGGTGGACGAATGATAGGTAGATGGAAGGATGGTACAGGTGCTAGAGAGAGAGTAGAGAACGATAGGAGAGTAGAAAGAATGCACACGCACACGGCGAAATAACGTTCTCAAATAGCAGACGTGATTTAGCCATTTATGGAAGATAGTGCTTAGGGGAATATTAGATGCGAAAGAAATAAGCGAGTGTGTATTTTTTTTTTATTGTTACAAATAGCTTCAAAAGCTGTAGCGTCAATAGCGCTATAGATTATGATCTTTGATTAATTCTTACGAGATTGAATCAGAGGGGGATAACGTTGCGCTGACGATATAGAAAATTCATTATCTGAGATTTGTTGAATTTCCTCTTTCTATCTATATGATAAACTGTATTATAGTCCCTCTTTTCTGAGACCCACTCACTCCCGTGAGCTGATTTCCGTTGAGAAGGGGGATCGTAGATAGATACGTAGATAGAAACAGGTGCACGAAGAACGAAAGACAGGACGCACTCTCTCGTAAACGCGGAGCTCATCGCGCCGAGGAGATAGCGTTCTCCAATACTAAGCAAAATTTAACCATTCGCCGGAGTGGTACTTGACGCAGCGACTGTAGAATGCTGTTTAGTAAGAGGTAGCTGTAATTTTCTTGTTGCGAGTGATCTGTTACGTCAACGGCAACTGCACCTGTCTATTATCTACGATTAGCTATTACTTTCTAGAGAAACAACGGTATGCAAGACGGAGCATACTTCAAACATTAACATTTGATTGTTGTGCAAGAGAGAATGTTAAAAATTTTTATTTTTGACATAGCTAGCTATTTTTCAAATCAACCAATTGCGTAAGGAACAAGAAAACACAAGAGAAACAAATATTTTTATATAAATATTGATATATTTTAAAATAAATAAAATCTAACATATTTTTAATTGAGAGAAAATGTGAATATCAAATATAAAAAATCCTATTATATAACAAACATTTAATATCGAAAATGTTACGCATCAAATTCCAATAAAATCTTATTAATGTAATGCAAAAGACACTGAGATGCTAGACGACTCATATCTTTCCATTTTAGACAAATTAAAATGACGGTCGCTATGTGTCTATTATGCGAGTGGGTTCTCTGCGCAGGTTTTATGTATTACATTACATAATATACATTCTGAACATATTCACATGAGCGTGAAAAAGTTAAAGTAGGTATGTTTGTCTGTAAGAGTGAAAACAGTTTTTCTGATACGTCTGTACACTTACTGACACAAAGTGTTATTACATTATATTTTTATTTTATGATTATTTATTTATTTTATGATTTTATTTTATTTTTATTTTATCGAGACTATTAATTAAACAATAGTGATTAATAGAGATTACTCTCGGGATCTATAGTTTTTAAACTAATATATGAATATAACATCACAACACACTGCGAACGGCTCTACATGACCTTATATTCATATATATTAGTTTAAAAACTATTAAGTAACTCACGGTTTTATTTATCGCATTATATTATATTAAACAGTTTTATTAAATTCACTGTGTTTATATAGTTTTATTTTAATCAAATTGATAATTCTACATATTTCACGCTTGAAGATATATTTTTTTATTTGTAATTTTTAACATATTATATATATGAGGTGCGTTAATATATTAGTAATTGCTTTATCCAGATATCTTATATCTGTTATTTTATTTTTTTCGCATTCTTAAATATTATATTTTATATTATTTAATTAGATATAGTATAAGATGCCACCTGAAGATAACTTACTATAATAAAGTCAAAACGTGCTGAACATTTGGTTTCGAATATTCATTTTGCACAACAATCTGGCTTCTGATTGACTGTTTTTTTTTTATTGAAAAAGTGATTTAGATTCTGATATAAAATTTATTTAATTACAATAGGAGTTTTGCAATTTCTCTTCCCACTAAGAGTAATTAATTAATGCATTAATAAAACGCATTTGCGCGCGTCGAATTCTTAACGCGCAATTAAACATTTGCAACAATTATAATTAAAATAATCATTTGTATTTATTGTGATAAATTTGTATATGAGAAGAGAGAGAGAGAGAGAGAGAGAGAGAGAGAGAGAGAGAGACGGGTAAACAAGAAGAGTGAAGCGCAGGTGTCACAAAGGACGAAAGGGAGTAACGATTCGCATTCTGCGGCGCGAAGTTCTCGGCATTACTCCGCGTGCATAATATCTGGGCGCATAAATTACCCGCAAAACCGCAGAGCCTACGTACATATCCAACTGCCGCGTGTATTATATATTTTCGTAACTCTCGGCTCAAGACAAACGTCGTCTTATAATATGCGCGCGTATTTTTTTCTCGCCACTCTAATTAATTAGCTGTCTATCTCTGTTTTGTAATTTATTTATGGAATTTACTTAATTTTATTTTTTTAGTGCGCGCGCGTTTTCACGACACGCTCTCAGAAAACGTCAAAACCATTTTTTACCATCTTCATATTTTTCGTACTTTCTTTCTGACATGTAAATGAAATTTTCGCTACACTTTACTTCTCGCTGTTATCAACGCTGTTAAGGCTCTTTCCGTGTGTCAACGTAAACATTTTTCATCATCACGCTTTTATTTCGATTTATTTGAAATCGTCTTTCAAAGATCTTGCGTTACATTTCTATTTTCAACCGATGATGCGAAAGAAAAAGATCTTTCTCGATTTCTCGAGTTGCGCTCGAGTTGCTATTCTGGTTATTAAATCTCGTCTCTCTCGAAAAAAAAAAGAGCTCAATCCGCGATATTTAATTATCCGGATTATTACGGTCCGAAGAACTTTTTGCGATGTATCTCGTGTTGTGTTGATCTACTTACCGACAATCGATGGCCAAAACTCGCGAGCCGAGCATAAATAAGCTACCCTGGTTTCACGGCGCGTAAAGGCTCGTCGAGCAACGGGGCGAGCTGTTTCGAAACGTGACGAGCCACGCGCCGTGAAACTCCCGACGGTGAAGCGAGAGGCTCGAACGTCGTTCCCTCGTTCACTCCGTTTCGGGCATGTACAAGAGAATGAGAGAATCAGAGTATGTGTGCGATAGGGTGAGAGGTTTGCGCGAGACTTGAATGCAGCACGGTAACTTGGTGTAACCGAGATGGAGGGATACGACAACTGTGTCCGAGCACGTCGTTAAAACCCGACCCGGGGCTACCCGGATTCCACGTTGTCGTCGTCGTCGTCGTCGTCGTCGTCGTCGTCTGCCGGGCTACACACTCCCGAGCGTTTCTCTCTGGTCCCGGCGGCCGCCCCTCAATTCGAACCCCTCCGTTTTCTCCGTCCGAAAGCGCGTCGGTCTATTGCTTCACCGAGCTTGCTCGTTCGACTATTGTTTCGTCAAGTGCGACGTAAAAGACTCGAAGATCACTCCCGTCCGCTTGGTCTCTATTGTACCGGCTATTAAGGCTGTTGTCTTGGCTCTCTCTCTTTCTATCCTTCCCCATCTTGTCTCTCCCTTCGTTCGTCTATTCGTCGACAAACTGCGACGACTCCGTCGGCTCAACCACCCTGTCTCCGCTCGCTCTCTCTTCGAGCCCGTTTGTCGCGAGGGGACAAGTGCAGTTTGCGCAAATTCAAATTTATCCCCGGGTCACGTTCCCTCGAGGAGCGAATTAAGGACTCGGGCACGGAGCCATCAGGAAGCACGCGTTGCTACTTAATCCTACCAAAAGCCCGACTGCGCGAACGCGCGGATGCGATGAAGCTGGTTCGCAGTCTACGCCAACCTGCTGGTTCCTCTGCGAATATGGCGCTTTGCTTTTTCATTTCCGTCGCAAAATTTCGTAGTTTTTAGAAACCGATTGGAAATTTACATGGCTTTTCGAGCGTGATCTGATCGTCGAGATGAAAGTAATCACGTTTATAAATTTTTCAAATCATTTCTTAACAGTTTTCTCGAACGAATCTAATAGACATTTTGAATTGGATATTACGGTTAGTTCCATTACACCCTGCCACAAAACTCATAAAGCACAAATGCAATTTGTTTTTGCTCACTTTTGACAATTTTTTTCACACCGTAAATTCGATCAAAACACATTAGTCTCTCATTCAAATGACTACATGTCACTTAGATGTGCAGTATTTACACAATGACGTTATCATGTAACTCTTAATGACATCTATTGAAATCGGGCACGAACTTTTGCACTCACCCATATATAATACAATAATACGTACTATTATCTTTTTGTCTTATTATACTTGTTAAATTTGAAGTTTTTATTATATATAATTTTCTAAAATTGTGTGAGAAATCTGCGCTCAAATAACATTGTTTTCTCTCGTGTCGTCTCTCTGTATAGTTTATCGAATCTTTGACTTAATCCACGTCGCATTCCTCGGTCTTAAAATACGAGTTTATAGCCGCATTCGTGGCATTTCCTCGTTGAGATTCACGGAAACTGACTCGAAGGGGGACAGAGAGGTGGCGG